ATTCAACAAATCATACACCTTATTCCATAACAATGATTATAATCCCTTCCAGGCACCATCAGTTCACAGTGTTTCTCTCTATTCACTTAGCTTTTTTTTTTTAAACACTCAGGCATATATAATAATTTACACCACCAAACGGCACATTCTGCAAGTCTGCCTCCTGACCACCAGCTCTTAGTCCCTCTCTTCCCATGAATCTAAAGTCTTCAGCTACTCCTTCTCTCCATCTCTGCCTCCATCTCTGGTATTGCTGCTTCTCTGGATAGGGTTTCTCATTCCCCTTGAGCTCTTCTCCCTCAATGGTCCTTTGTTTCTGGACTGTAAGATTAACTTCTCCCCATTTTTGTTACCAAATGTCTACCTTTACAATTGTGACAGTTGCAATAGTCATTAAAACAATTACTCATATTGATTCATAAGAATTTTATCCTCATCTTTTTTAACCAGACCCATCTAGACAAGATGAAAACTATTCAGTGGAGATACTTTTCCCCCCATACACTTAAACTAAACTCTACATTGAAACCTTGTAAGCCAGTCACTTCATGCCTTTATCGCCCCCTCATTTTAGGTAACCAATATCTGAGTTGCCCATCCCTATCTACCATGTTTATAAAGGGGGTAGCATTGATATTTGATGTGAAGACACCTTCCCTCTCTCTTGGTAGAACTAGGTTTATTGATCCTAATCTTTATCATAAACTCAATCTACACTAAAAATTTTTACGCAAGAAGGTATAATTTTTTACTTTCCTCATTGAACCTAGGATGAAGGACTTGACTGTGCAAGTAGCGCAGTTGTTACAAATCAGGCTGCACACCGCAAGGTCAGCAGTTCGAAACTACCAGTGCTTCCATGGGAGAAAGATGAGGCTTTCTGCTTCCGTAAAGAATTACAGCCTCAGAAACCCTGTACAGGGTTGCTATGAATCGGCTCCATGACCCATAACCACTATCACCACCAGAGTCTGTTGAGCAGAAGAAAGAGTTTGGTCACATGATGAGGGTGAAGATGAAAATTTGTGCATTTTTCTTGCTATCACAATTGACCCAATATTCTCCTCATATATTTTCCAGTTCCTTTAGTACCCCTAACAGCCACCTGGAGTCCTGGTGTGGTGCTGCAGGATAAGCACTCAATCACAAGGTCAATTTGAATCATGCAGTCACTGGTTCAAACTCACCAGCCACTCCGCAGAAACCCTATACTATACAGGGTCTCTGTGAATGGGAACCAAGTTGATGGCTCTTAACAACAACACCCACCTTGATGCTCTGCTCTCCATCTGTGCATCTGAGTTCCCAAGATGACCAGGACAAGGAAGAGAAGGGCCCCTAGGATGATACATAGGACCCCAGGCAGGGAGAAGATGCCAGAGACAGGGGATGAGGGTGAATTTGTTCCTGAGGATAAAAAAGTGTCATAAGGCTTTAGAAAAGATCCTAATTCCAGTAGAATTTCTTATCCTAGTCACTTCTGAGTCCCCAGAACTATGAGGTCACTGGTTCCAATAAAATGGGTCTTCCTGTCTTCCTGATCCTCAAGATGTGTGTCAACTGTCTTCTGAATCTGCACCTAAGGGATTGCTATAAAGTGAATGCTGGGAACCTTAGGATCTTTACAGCTGCCATAACTTTATAGGGCTACAAACACCATTACCTTCACTGATGGGTTATTTTTGCCATATCAAGATTTATAGAGCAAGTCCCTGAAAATTTGAATATGTTCTCTAGCACATGCTCAGAGCAGAAGA